CCAGCCAGCATTGAAGTTGTTGAAGTCCACTCATCTTAAAGTGGCCAAGTTTGGACAACACTGCACTATGGGCTGTAGACTCCTAATATGATTGTCTCAGAATCATATATACATTCTTTCCTTCCTTCCATATTTGTACACAGTCCCCTTTTATAAATTCCCTTCCCCCTTCTCCAATGTTTTTACATACATACATACATACATACATATACATATATATGATTAACAAACATTATCAAGGACAGTAACTAAATGACATAAACCCAAAATGAGTAGATAAAAAATATAGAGAAAATACCAAAAAATCTACTAAAAAACAAGTAAAGAGACAGGTACTGTACAGTTAACAAATTTACTATATATGTAAAATATTACCATATTACAGTCAATTGCTATTGAGGTAACCTGTAAAATCCATCCAAAATCCATCCAAACAGCAGTAGCCAATTGCTATTGAGGCAAGTTGTAAAATCCATCCATATTTGACAGAATTGTGGTTCCTGCCTCTGATGTTTCATTATTTTAACTTTGTATGTGATATTTTCTGATGCAGCTATCAAAGAGGCCTTGTTAATCCACATCTCAATTGTTTTCCGTTCTTGGGTAATGATTATTTTGGCTGCTAAAATTAAATTCATGGGATTAACTCATGAAGATTTTTTTCCCCTCTGCTAGCACTTGGATAGCTGCCCTGTCTTTGTATACTGGAAAACTATTTATGTTAGTATTATTTTTCCTTGATTGTTTTCTCTCCTAGATTTACCTAAAATACATTCTTGATTATCCCCTGGGGAAAAAGTTGAAAGCCAACCTTGAGTGTATCCTTGCCCAGCTCAAGTAAGTACTGTGGTTGTAATTCCCAAATGAAACCATGAGAGCATAAATATTACATATTTGTTCCATTGGTTTTAAATGATTATTTTGTAATTGTTTTGTGTTTTTCCTTTTGGTTACAGATAAACAAATACATGTGTTAGAAACAAAATCTGGTAGTAGACCAGATTTATTTCCCTATCTAGTTTGTGTTGTCTGTTAGTTCCTCTCTCATCAACCTTTCTCCCATTCCTTTATCTGAAGATGCCAAGGACTAAATATGGAACCTCATGAAAGCTCTGTATTTGACCTGTGGTGTCTTAAGTTTGCCATACCTCTGTTGGTGTTTGAGTTTTCTGTGCCATGAATTGTTCCATTAAATAGTATAACTTTCTGTAGTACACGGAACTGTATATGGCTTTGTTTTCAGAATATATAGGCTGCCCATTTTTTTAAAGACACTAGGTAATTTGGCTCTGGCCAAGAATTCATCATGGTGATCAGCTGAAAAGAAGATAATGGAAGAGCTGCTGACCATATGTCTCCAGTTTTGTTATGAATGGAGGCTTGCCACATATATGTATATTTATTTCATTTTTCCTCTATACAGCTATTAAAGGAGCAAGAGCATCCTATGCAGTCTGGTACTGGCAAAGGCAGACTATATGATCAAAGTATATTTTATTAATGTTTTAGGTATCTGGGTTTCTAAACACAAACATAACAGAATACATCTGATTGAATATCAACAGATATTATGCTGTTTGTGTCAAAATTTTGGCAATTTTGGAAGTATTAACTATATTGCGCTGTTAATTGTTTCACCCTAGTTATGAATATGAGACGGGAAGAGAGTCTGCTTTGGAAATGATTGCTTACCTCTTTGAAATGTTCCCTCAGGTACCGTACAGTTACCTCCCATATACAATATCCCTAAATATCCCTATTTCAACTAAAATAAGTCCAATATTTGAATAAGACTGTTTACAATGACTTTCATTAAAAGTAATGAGATTGCTGAGAAAATATGTACAGGATCAAATTTGTAAGCAAAGTCAGAAGAGCTGTAAACACACAGCTTCTTGCAGGAGTATTCTGGAGTTGTTTGTGGGAATAAAGGATTGCACGGATTGATTTTATTTCTGTTTAAATCCTGCCTGTTCTATTAGGAATTCAGGCTTTTCCTCCCCTTCCCATTTAATAAAAAGTTTTTATCCAAAGACTTTTCAGAGCCATTCCCTAAAGTTATTTTGTATATGCTGTGAAAAGCATTCCAAATGTTGTTGAATGTAGTCTTCCTAATTGCAGTTAGAGTGTTTTTGGCTCTTGCTTGCTTAAGAATTGTGAAATGTATGCAATTCTTGGAGATAGTGTTATTTAACTGAAATGCGTGTTGCAGGGAAAATGTCATACATTCATCTGTATATGGAATACAACCTCTCGTTGTTTAGTGACCGCAATCCGTTCCTTAAATCAGAAGCAAGATGGTCGCTAAGTGAACACATGACTGAGGGGGAGAGAGAGAGAGATGCTGCAAAGATCACTGGTTGCTGCCATCTCATTTAGTAAAGCCATTTTTTTGTGGGCTTACTCTCACTCCAGCATACATTGTTGTCAGGCACAGAAATTTGTAAGTGCACACATTGGTCAGAAAATGATGATGATGATGACCGTCATATTTGTGAACAGTCGCTAAAGGAGGTAGCTGCTAAACAAGGAGTGGCTGTATGTTGATTGTCTTGATGTGGATCTTCCTTTCATTGTGGTTTACAGAGGAAAACACTCATTCTAGATATTTCCAGCCTGTTTGATTTCTATTTTATATCTACAGGGTTTATTGCATGAGTTTTGTGGGCTATTCTTTGTTCCATTATGTATGATGATAGTAAATGATGATTCAGCAAAGTGCAAGAGGATGGCAGCACTGGCAATCAAAAATCTTCTCAACAAAATTAGTCCTGCAAATCGAGACCTGATGTTTTCACTGGTTACTTCATGGTTTACAAGTGCAAAGGTACTATATAGGGCAGTAGTTTAGGTTATCATTGGCAATTGATCTTCTAAGCAGAATGAAGAAAATAAGGGAATGTTAAGAGAATAATATTTTTTTCAAAGAAAGATTATAATCAACTGAACTTTCTTTGGTGGAACACTATTTTACTACATGGCATTTAGTAATGTCATTTTCTTGTGGGATTAAAATCTCCACTTAGAATCATGGCTGGGCATGTTGTTGGTAAGGCAGACACACTTAACAAATGTTTGGGCCTCCTTGCATGTAGAGGATTCAGTTATGTTCAGGTAGAGCAGGTGTTGGCTGAAGTGTTTGCACCATGGGACACAGTGAAGGGACTGCTTTTAGAACCTGACAAACTAACCAGGTTATGCTCTGTCTGAATGTTGCTTCTTATTGTTGTAGAGGTCAGCAGCACTATTACAGTAAGAACTTTTTAATTTGTTATTTATAATGAGGAAATATGTATTATTCAGCTAAGTTTGTATGCTGCTTCAGAGTGGCTTACCTACCTCCTTCAGTATTACAGTGAAAATAAAATACAGTAAACCATAATACAGTAAACAGTAATAACAATCAGTAATAAGAACTTCGGTTCAGGGAGTAACACTTAGCTATACAAACTTTACCCTACCGTGAGGGATCAATTCGCAAACCTCAAAATCTCGTTGAAACAATCACATTTTAGTGGCTCTATGAAAACCCAAAAGCACTGGCGATTGTTTGATCTTGGGGGTGGGGCAGGGGGTGGGAACCTCTAGTGAAGGGGGGCAGTGACTAAGAAGTCCTACCCATTTCTATATAGCCAGCATTCTATATAGCAAGGATAGGGATTCAGAAAAATCTTCTCTTCTAGATTTTGTTGGGTGGGCAAAATTACTTCCTTCCCTCACACAAATTGATGTTCTTACTTTCCTCATACAAAGAAGTCACAAATAGTGCTAGTTTAGTTTTTTTGCAAAATGTCTTATTTACGAGAGATTGTCTTTATTGATAGAGTATACACAAGAGATTAGCTGCTCAAGCCTGTGGAGCATTTGTTGAAGCTGAAGAAATTGAATTTGAGAAAAGGCTTGGAACCATTCTCCCTGTTATCGAGAGAGAAATTCGTCCTTCTAATTTTGAAGAAGTAAGTATTTTAATCAGAAATAATGTTTCTGGGAAACTGAAAGGCTGAGAAAATGAATCAAACTCCTATTAACGAGGCAAAATGCTTCATTATTTTATGAGAAGACAGGTTCACAAAATAAATTTGTTAAATTATTTTGGCAGAAACATATTATTTTTCCAAGAAGTGTAAAAGAGCCTTATTGAAACAGTTTTAATAGATAATATAGCTGTAATAATGAGGGAAGGGGAAGGTAAAGTAGAGAAAAAGAGTTAGTTTTTATTCTATAAGCTGTTTAGACTACAGGTAAATAGTCTTCCTCAGTGGGCATGAAGGACTGAGAAGGCAAATGAATGACCAAATATCTGTATATTGTTTTTGATTATTGTGGCAAAACATTGAGAAACATTGAATATTGGCCTTAACCTATTAGCATAGGAGCTCTATTTACAGTGCTGTAAAATCAGGCATGTGTTAACGTCACCAGCAAAGCTTGGAGTATCCATTTGTGATTCAGATAAAAGATGCCAGGGCTATCGAACGTGACATATTAGTACATAGATATTTTCAAAATGAACTGTGGAGTTCATGATTGAAGTAATAATCCATAAAGACCTGTGCTGAAACATGTTCAGCTTATAGATAGCATGATCTTAATTGGGAAAAGGTTCCTACTGTTTCTCTATATCCATAACAACAATTGAGAAATTGGCTGTTTGCTGTGGAGTCTTCTGGATAAAAGACGGGAAATTTATCAGGAAGCCAAAATATGCACAAAGTTTGTGGCGAGTTCTGTATGAAGTGACTGTGGTGATCATCCACTCTTAGTGTTCCTTTGCTAAGGAATTCCTTTGCAAATTTCTGTTTCAAACTGAATATGGAACCTTGTCAGGAAAGAGTTTGTGATATTTCTGCTCAGTTGTGTTTCAGATTACAGCCTCATTGTTCCCATTTGCAGTTGAACTTGCACTATTATATCAATGGTATCATTAAGCAGCAACCTATATGCAGCCATGAAGACTAGTAGCGGATGTATTAATTACTTGAACACTATTGCTGTTGCAGAATATCATTGTTACGATCCATTTTCACTTTTTTTAAGGTTAAAGAAGAGACTGAAGAAAAGCTGGCAGACAGATTGCTCTTCAGCTTCCTTACCTTGCTTGTTAAACTGATCAATGAGTGCAACATTATTCAATTAAACAAACACCATGAGATTCTAAGCAGTATTTGGGGTTAGTAGTAACATTACATTGCTGCAAAATAAGCATTGGTGCCTGGCATGCTTATTATGAAGACTGTGCATATTAAAAATGTATAATGCAGAACGTTTTATGTCCCTGCATTTAAATGAATTCAGTTCAAATGAGCTCTTTTCCCCCCCATTTTTTAAGGTCATGTCCAGTCCCATTTATGGTACCCACACAGCTGGGTGTGGCTGACTTCTGCTCAGATTTTTGGCTTGCTGTTTGCTTCTCACAAGCCAGAAGAACTTGTCAATAAATGGAGCAAAAGAAAACTAGAAAAGAAACAAGTGACTCAAGAGCCATCAGCAACAGTTTTCTTAACAGAGGAACTTAGCGAAAAGGTTATCCTACTTACTATCTTACTTACATTGCTGTGTATTCCGGGGGT